AAAAAAAATGAGTTGAATAGATTGATCTTTAAATTTGACTCAATTTGACTTATTCAGAACTCTAAAATAGCATCTAAAAAAATATTTTATTATTTAAAAAATATTGATAATAATATATATAATTTTTTTTATTTAGAGAAATGATACCATTTATAAAACTGCAGGTCTTTTCTTAATTTAAATCTGACATATATATTATTTAACAAAAAATGTTTTATTATTACAAATAAACTAACTATATATATTAAAATAAAAGTTCTTTGATCCTTTTTATTTCATAAAACTAATCTGAAACTAATCTAAAGTTCATAATTATAATAAATTTTATTTAACATAATTGGTTTTGCAATAGATTTCTATTATAATTATATTATTATATTATGTTATACTTAATTTTATCACATAAATTTACTATGTGATCAACCTAAATTGATCCATATGTTTCTTAAAAAATTCTTGTTTAATATTATGTATAATTTTAAATAATATCTTTATTTTATAATAAATAACTAATAATGCTTCATCTTTATTTAATTTAAAAAATTATATTAAATTATATATTTAAATAAGTTTTTCTAGTTAATGCATAAGATAATAAAATATATAATCTTAATATTCTTGAATTTCTTCATAATAAGTTAAATTTAAATTGATTTTTAAATCTCAAATAATTCTTGACATTTATTGCAAATAGAGGTATGAGAAGCATTGCATTCATCAAATGCATATAGTACGTAATAATTTATATATGAATTATGAGATATTACTTTATGATCAATTATAACTAAATGTTTTTCCTATTCTTTCTTTAAGTAATATTTTAATAAATAATAACATTGAAAAAAAATATTCTACAAATTTATCATTAATATTAGTATATATATTAAAAATTTTTATAATAAATTAATTATATTTACCTGTAATTTAGTATTATTTTATTAAATTTATAATATCTTCAAATGTTTTATATCTATATATATTACACTTAGAATACAATTCTTCAAAATCTTCTAGATAAATATATTAGTAACATATTAATTAAGTATAAAATATTATACACTTTTATGAAAAAATAACCAGAACACAAAAATTGAAATAATAATTAAAATTTTTAACTTAAAAAAATTTTTTTTTTAATAAAATTTGACTTTGATATTCTAAGTAAACTTATGCATTATATTAAATAGTATATATCTTGAAAATTTTATGATAATTGAACTTTTATTAAATTTTAAATTCTAATATTTAATTAAAAAATACATAATTTTTAAAGATTTTCAACTATAATAAAACTGTAAATTTTTTAGCTTAATGATTATTTTAGTAATTAAGTAAATGTGTTCGATATAATAAAAGAAATATTATTTTAAAATTTTAGCATTTATGTATAAATACTTGTGATAATCGTTGCAAAATTAGTTAAATATTCTAGATTTAAATATGATTGTCATAATGTAACCTAAACTAATTAGATAATTAAATAAATAAAATGTTAAAATCTTTAATTGTAACAATTGTAGTAATAAATATAATATTTTTTTTTATTATATTGAATACATTTACTTAATTATTAAAATAACCTTTAATCAAAAAAATTGTAATTTTATTATAGTTAAAATCTTCACAAATTATGTATTTTTTTTAATTTAATATTAAAATTTAAAATTTAATAAAAGTTAAATTGTCACAAAATTTTCAAGATATATATTATTTAATATAATGTATAAGTTTATTTAGAATATTAAAGTTGATTTTATTAATAAAAAAATTTTTTTATTAGTTGAAAATTTTAATTATTATTTCAATTTTTGTGTTTCTGGTCATTTTTTTTGGGAAGTGTACATTTAATTTCATTTGAAAAAGACTTGAAATTTTTTCTATAATACATTTTTTTGTATTTTTTAAAAAACTATTGGTTATCTTATTTTCACATCAGTTTATAGTAACTCATAATAACATGAATTTATTTTGAAAAAATAAATCAAATTGTTGATTTAGTTCAAAAGTAATTCTTTTTACTTTTCTAATAGGCTTTTTAATTACTTCACAATCAGAAACATTAATTTTTGTATATTTTTTTGCTTTAAAAATTGAACTTTATGCAACTTACATAAATTACAAAAGTATCAATATATTATCAAATTTTTTTTGATTTTTTTTTAAAACTTACTTTTAACTTTCTCATAAAGTATTTTAAGAAAACCTTTTTGCTATAATAAAAGAATTCTTTTTTTTCTATTATAACTTTTTTATTTGTATCTAATGTCTGATAAAAATAATTTCAAAAAATATTACTCTTATTATAATTATTAAAATAATTTAAGAATAATTTAAAAAATAGATACAAAAATCCTGCTATATATAAAAAATCTAAAACTTTATGATCACATTTAGGATCATTAAATCATATTTAAAATTTATACTAACAAAATTTAACAGAAAATTATTATTTTTGTTTTATATAATTTTTGGTTTTTTTTTTTAAAAAAATTATTTACTGATAATATATCTTTGATATAAGAAGTAATATTTATATATTTAATATGAATTAACATTATTTATTATGCTCTCATTTTTCTTTCTTTAAATATATGATCTGGTGAATATAAATATTTTAAAGAGGTGGTAATTTTAATTATAATTTTTACTTTATTATACCATTCAATAAAAAACTTATTCTATTGAATAGAAGCTAATGTAAGTTTTTGTAAGTGATAATTCTATAACAATTTCTTCAGGCTTACATCTAAATATAAATTGTGTTTGAATTAGAAATAGGTGTTAATTAACCAAAGGATAATTAATCAAAAAATAATTAATCAAAGGATATTTTTAGTTGACTAATCAAAACAAAAGGAAACTTTTTTAACATTTTTTACAATGTTATATTTAGAATTGTGTAGTAATATAAAAATATATATAATATTAATTAATTAAATCCTAATTAACTGTTAATTTTCCTATTCTTAGTTTGAATATATGTTTGAATTTGAGATTAGCTGATTTCAAATAAATCAATTTATTTATGCTTTTGCAATATACCAACTTTTTTTCACATTAGGATTTGTATCAACATAATTAAATTGCAATTCAAATCATGATGCATTTTTATTGTTGAATTTATTTTATTTATCTCTTGTATGAAAAAAGTGTATATTTTTTCTTTCCAATTAAATATATAAAAGAAGACTTGAAACTAGAACTAGCATTATATAATTGTTTTTTATCAGATGTACTAATACTATATACAAATAATCAAAATTTTCTTAAATAATAAAATGGCTGAAAAATAATTTCTGTCAAAGTTATTTCCTAATTTCTGAATTATCATGACCCATAATAAGAGGACTGGAGAATCTAATATTGTTTTTAAAAAGTTATAGTTATATTAGTTATAAGATTATCAAAAATAGTACTGTTTAAATCTCCCACTTCATAAATATATTCTGATTGTTGTAAGACTTAGGATGATATTTAATAATAGTAATAATAAATTATGTATTTCAGAGAATAACTAAAGTTTTTATATTTACATGAATAGGATATAAGCCAGACATTTTACTTGTATTATTTGTGCATCGCATTTTTCATTAATCTTGATAAAATAGTTCATAATATAAATTTTCATCAATATAACCAAAAGAAATTAAACTAATTTTGATATTCTTTTTATTTACTCATAATTTAACACGTATTTAAAGTGAAATTATTTATATAAAAGAGTTAATTTATAATATAAGCAAAAAGTTTATTTATTTATACAAAATTTCTTTATCACAGTTAATTATTTACTATACTATAAACTAACTAATTTAGTAAATAAAATATAAGTATGCAATAAATATTCATAAAATAATAAAAATATAAAATATAATAAAAATAATAATAAAAGATAAAATATTAAAAATAAGTATAACATTAAATATTTCTAGACTTCATTCAATTTGTAAAATTAGAATTATTATCAGTATTTAGAAAATCTGCAGAATTACGTAAATCATTCGTATTTTTAAAATTTGTAGAATTCTTAGTATTTTTAAAATTTTAAATTAGAAGATCATCATACTGCATCATTCACATGACTTCATTATGATTGGTCAATTATTCTGTTGATAACATAATTTAAACTTTATCTCAATCTATTCTACATATTTACTGTTAATAATAAAATTATTATTGCTGATAGCTGCTTTATAATTATCAGCTGAGGTGAAGTAAAAGAATGTATATTATTAATGTATAATTTTTACAAACTACGATTGTTAGACAGGATGTTCAAGCAGTTTATTTTTTTTAATTACACAATAATCTTTTAACGGTTTGCAAGTTTTAATTCAGGTGGTTTATCAAAAGTGTTTAGATTATTATAACGAATGGGAATTCAACAGATTGCCAGTAGTTATATTTGTAAAATAATGTATTTATTCACAAGTAAAATAATGAAATAAAAGAAAAAAATAAAAGAAAATAAAATAAGAAAAGAAAAGAAAAGAAACGAATTATAGATGCCTGCCGAAACCTTCTCAAAATAATTTTGTCATACCCTTTTCTATGTTTTTAATATAGTTTCGACAGTTTCGGCTTTCGTCGTATCGAATGGGTTTCATCGTATCTCTTATTATGATTTTTAATATAGTTTCGTCTAAGTTTCGACTGTTATTAAGGGGTTTTGTCCCTCATCTATAAAACGAATTATTGAAACTAAAATGTAACACATTTTGTTGTTTCATCAAAATCTGATATTTGTAAAGCAAAAAAAGGATAGAATTGATTTGCATCAATATTGCATTGAGTTTTTTTGCCATAAGGTATAAGTTCCTATTAAAAAAACATTTACAACATAAATAAATATGTGCATATTTAATAATAATTAATTAATGAATAATGATATAGATTACCTAAGACCAGTCAAATGTTTCAAGATCTTCTTATTTATTTTTCAATTTATTTGCTCATTCTTAGTTTCATTTTTGGATATTTGTAACATTATGTAAACGTTGCTAATTCCGTTCTAATTCAATCTTACTTATATTGACAAGATCCTGATCAGACAAAATAACATTGCATACCAAACAAGTCACATTTATCATTTCGCAAATTCTTTCATTATTATGTAAAATTGCCAGAGCATGTCTTACTAGATATGACTTCCAATAATCAATTCTCTTGTCAAGATAAACTAGTTTAAGTCAGTTAAATACTTCATTTTGTGATATGCAAATTTTTGTAACAATACTTTAGTTGATAGAAAAACGAAAGATTATCTCTAACATGGATTTGAATTTTTCACGTTGATAAGGAGTATAGAATTTGAGAGTAGGCTCTGAAAGTTGCAGCTCAGAATTATTCTTTATCCAACAGATTTCTGGCCAACACAATTTATGATTACCACAAAGACGTTGAAAAAGACCTTCTGTCTGTACATTACGAATATTTTTTTCCTGTATAGGATAATTTTCTTTCTCGCTTTTTTGAATACCTGCAGCATATATACAGCTAGTAAAATAAAGCATAATATGTTATTCAAAATCACGTTATTGAGGAAATTTGTTCACTACAAATGTATGACAGTCAGATTTTGTTTAAAAAATTAATAGTTACTTAATAAAAATTATTTACTTAACATAAGTTTTTGCAAATATTTTTAGTAACATGCTTAAGATCAGCAAAAATTTGGTTGACAATTGCAACATTTCTTAAGGTTTTGTTAGAATCCAGATCACCATCAATAGTAACATTTATAAGCATGTCGTGTTCTTCTAAAATTGGAGTTAATTTTCCAAAAATACTAATCAGGATAGCGTATTTCATCTAACGAGAACTCAAATCAAAGTTGCCTTCTCTTATAATTTTGTCTTCTCTATCCTGTTTTTTTATTTTTCAGGGGTTTTTAACAATGTGAAATGCAATCATAGGTTTGTAAAAATATCCTAATGCAGAAAAGTATACTAATAAGTAATTACAAACCAAACAAAATTTTTTTAAAAAAAAGAATATATATGATATTTATCTACATCTTTACCATCATATATCATTTTGCCATTAACTTATTAAGCATTACGAACATGAGACCAAGAACAATCAAAACTTACAGGCAGAGTACGTTTTCCTTTTATTTTGCAATAATTAACGTTAATTACTTTTTGTAAAGCTATTTTTGTGCTTATTTCGGCTGACTCCACAATCTTTTCAAAAGTCATAGCTTGATAATTATGGTAAGAAGCTTTACAGAGTTGCGATATAACACTTGCATACATAAAAGTCATTTGTATTGATTGTCTATTTATTCCGCTAACTAAACCTGCAGCAGCGAAGCAAGCATTGAAATTTACTTCTGCTGATTTGTTAGAAAATTCTTTAACCATCTTACAAACTTGACATTTAATAAGTATTTTTATAGAGAGTCCTGCTATTGAAATATTCCATTTTTTGTTAATGATTTTTATTTCTCCATATGAATCACAAGGTTGCTGTAATACCAAAGAAAGATATTGTTCAGTGCTTATCAATAATGTTGAGCTAAGCTTTTCTTCTTTTATAGAGTCTTGAATCATTAATGCTAATGATTCATCATTATCATTATCCTCTTCCTTCACGATGTCAAAATAATGATCACGTTATACTTTCAGCTGTTTGATTTGCCGATTAGTATTGTATAGTTTATTTTTTATCTGTTTGTGCTCAGATAACACTATATAAAAACTTTCTGAACTCACTGGCTTCATATCACTGGTTATGCATATGCCATCACGAACTAATTTACCTGTTAATATTGATTGTAGTTCTGATCAAAGGCATTTTCCTTTTTTTTCAATTGCTCTAATAATTTTTTTTGTCATTTCTTGCACTTTAGTAAAAACTTGCAATTTGGGATATAGCTCAGGATATTTTTTATATACTGAATCTTTTAACAATCTGACAATAGATAAAATATTAATACCTATTGTGAAAGGAATTGATAATTTACCACCAGTTTTATATATTTTATAAGACTTCAAAAATGATCAGGTTAAGAATCTGATGCTATAGGGATAGTAAGATTATTTTCGTCTGTTTCAAAATCAACCCAAGAAAATAATAGTTGCTGATTGAAATATTCAATGAAAAATTTGAAAATATTGTTTCCAAAAGCAGTATAAATTGTATAGCCAGGTAAAAGTGGTACCCAGGTCTTTTCATTATTCACTTTGATATAATAATATCCTGCTTGAGAATTAACAGTTATATCTTGAAATTGTTCATGTATATCAACAACTTGTTAGAGTTGTGAAATATCTAACACAAAATGTGTCTTATTTGTTCGAGAAAAAACCTGATATTTATTGTTAAAAGAGAGATTTTAGTACTATCGAAGCACAGCTATTTTCTAATATACAGTGGTGGTCAAAAGTATTGCATCACCCGAACACAAATTTTAAAATTGCAATTTTTTGACAATTAAGGCGGCGCAGTGTACAAAACTTTATTTTTAGACTTATTATAACGAATCAATTTAGTGGTATAAATTTCGTTACGCAGTGATGGAATAAAAATTTTTTAAAATAATATTTTTTGTCGATCATGCGATGCTTTTCTTTTGACTGAATTTTATAAAATATTTTTATATAAATAAAAAAAAAAAATTTATTATTTCAATTATAATAAAACTTTGATAAAAAATTGTTTACCATCTTGTATAGCCACCATTAGCTCTAATTATATCATTTATATGAGTTAGCATAGTATCAACTAACTTTTTACATACATCAGACCCCAATTTAACCCAAATCTTTTGAATTACATCCCATAAATGATCCTGTGTTCTAACAGGTGTTTCAAGTCGTTTCAAATGACGGTCCATTTTATTTCAAAGATGTTCTATTAGATTTAAGTCAGGGGACTATGCTGGCCAATCAAAAACCTTAACTCTATTATCTTTAAACCATTGCTTTATGAGATGTGCTGTATGTTTAGGATTATTATCTTGTTGAAAAATAATATTTTCCTTATCCATTCCATGTCACTCGATGGTTTCTAATAGATCTTCCTTTAAAATTTGATGATATAAATCACTATTCATATGTCCATAAATTCAGCATATGTTACCAACCTCATCAGATGTAAAACATCCCCACACCATAATATTACTCCATTCAAATTTGACCGTTGATTTAACATGATGATCACGTAATAGTTTATTTGGTTTTTTCCAATAATATTCTCTACTATCTGATCCATAAATCATAAATTTTGACTCATCTGACTAAATAACTTTATTCCAATCCTCTGCTGTCCATGATTGATATTTTTTTGCAAATTTTATACGAGCAATTCTATGCATTTTTTGAAGATAAGATTTTTTACACTTGATTCTTGAGTTTAATCCATTTTGTCGTAAGGTTCACTTTACTGTACTTTCACTAACTTTGATTTGTTCTTCAACTTTTAACTTTTTTTGAATTGAAACTGTATTTGTACATTTTCCTGATGAAATAAGCTGCAAAACATTTCGTTTATTTTGACCTGTTAGGTATCATAAACATTCAGGCTTTAGTTGATTTTTGAAGGTACCATTTTTATCTTTTTTTTGCTTAATTCTAATAACAGTTGATTGAGAAATATTTTCTTTGAATGCAATATAACGAAAGGGATATCCCTCTTCAAATAGAGTACAAATTCTTAACCTTTTTTCAACAAATAAATAACCCATCAATATATTTTTTTTTAAAAAAAAAGGATGCTTAAAAGCATCCTTTTTATATGTATTGCATGATTATTTTGAATAAAAATAATCGCGTACGATATGAAGTTATTTATTTTTATAAAATCAGTCATAATAAATACATCGCTCAATTTGTATGTTTTTACATTTCACGAAAAATAATTTTTGTTTTCTTAAAAAAAAAAGATTATATAGATTGATAAAATAGGATATGACAAATTCCTTAAATAAGTTTTATAACACTGTGATTTCTTAATCTCAAGAAATTGCAATTTTAAGATTTGCATTCAGGTGATGTAATTCTTTTGACTGCCACTGTAAAAATAAAATTAATTTTTTTTTAGATATTTTTTTTCTTTTATTATAAAGTTCTTAAATAATTAAATATTATAATAACTTCTTCTTAATTTTATAAAAAAGAAAAAATTGTTAGAAAGATCAGATTTTAAAAATTTTTTAATAAAACTTATTTTAGATTTTAATATCATTAGATTAAAATGTAATAAGATTTTAATTTAATTAAAATTCTTATAATTTGATTTACTTAATAATTTTCTTATATATAAATTAAATAAATATTAAAATTTTATTTAAGTTTTAAAAAAAAACTATTTATCTCTTAAATTATCTAGCAAGCAAATTTGCCTATAAACTTAAAAAAATGGTTTATTTTTTTTAATAAAATATTAAATATTAATTTTAGTAATATAATAATTATATGTAAAATATAGTTTAATATATATTTTATTAATTTTATTAGAAGAAATTTTAAGTTTATAAGATATTTTTTAAATAATTT